CGGTGCGGCAGCGCACCACCTCGCACTTGTACTTCTCCTCGCACTTCTGCAGTATCTCCTTTAATTCCAGATCCACCTGAAATGTCATATTGCATTACAATTTTATGCAGTATATCCTGTAGGCAATAGGCAATAGGCAATACGAATATTCGTGTTTTACTCATTTCTTTTATCTTCCTAAGCCATGTTAAACCTGGTACACTTAATTTGACTACGTTTAGTATTCCTTACCTGATCCTGTCGCCGACGCCTGGAGCCCTCGCGCCGCTGCGACTGGGACCCGAAGCTGCCGCCCGAGTGGGAGCTGTAGCTGCTTTGACCGCCTAACGTACGTACAACAATACTTGATCAACTTAATCTTCTGCATTAACACGGCAAGAATATTGCAGAATAGAATAAATGTATCTTTGTTGTAATAAAAGGAACTAAATAATAAATTACCCGATTGTGAAGAATATGAGTAGCTGCTGCCTCCACTGCTAGCGTAAGCACCTCCTCCTTGATAACTACCTCCCTGGAATCCAGCTCCGCCTTGGTATCCCGAATTCTGAGCGTTTCCATAGCTCGCCTGATAACCAGAGCTCGAGGAGCCCCCGGAGCCGCCCTGGGCACTTCCGGAAGCTCGGTTTCCTTGGCTTCCAGAAACATCGGCGATACCGTATCTGAATTCGTTGTTAGGGTTGCTCGCGGCGTACGCTCCGAAGCCGCCTATCTCGTCTTCGTCCTCGTCGCCCACGACAGTGACGCTGGACTGTCCTCGGAACTTGCTGGAGCCGGCTTTGAAGAGGTCTGGGTTGACCGTCTCCGTCGTCGACCACAGCCCGTGCACGAAGTTCTGCCCGGAACCTTGGTTTTGGTTGCCCGCTTGACTGTTCACGTACCTGAAAAGCAAATAATATTCTCTACAACCTAGCAATGATCTCTCATTTTATTTAAATTGGCGCAAAGAGTTATGTTTTTAAAACAAAACTGAATGATACAAAGGTAAAAGATTTACTTACGTATTAAAAGAACTGCCAGCTTCACCTTCGTGTCCTAGGGATCCGTATTCTGTACTCGTTTCAGTTTGAGACACAATGTTATGATTTTGATCGTAAACTATCGTCTTGTTCATCACTCGCACCACCTGGCCGCCCTG